GTAGTACTATGTAGCAAAACTTGTGGAATGCAACCAAAACAATGCATAAGTAGAAGTTTATGATCTTGAATGCCTCATTGGTAATTTCTCACTAGTAAGGGAGCATGGCATTCATCACACAGGAGGCTTACCTGCATTGGCTGATGTTGATGGGGGTTCAGAGGCTTTCTTCTCAGTGTTCTGGTCTTTGGCACTCCTCCAGGACTTTAGCAGAACTCTGAGGGAATCAGAACCCCAGTAACCAACATTGACTGCACTACTGCCTTCTGCATACCACCACCAGTAGGAAGCGTAGGAAAGGCACCTGTGAGCAGAGTAGTCCCATTCATACAAAATATGTCCATTTCTTGTTATCCATGGTTTAAGAGAGATGAGAGCACTATGTCATCATATCCATTGGAGGCAGCAAGTACATCAATGGGAAAAGCATATTGGCACTGCTCTTGGAAGTACTTGGAGGAAATAGGCACAGCCAACCCTGATGAAATAACCGCCAGCTAGGGAACGGACAGTGGAGTACCAGAGTGAAGGATGCCTGGTGCCCCTCTCCTCCATCCCTGGCTGCAGTAGGTCAGAATGGCAGTGTGGTCTGAACAGAGAGGTGTGAGCCAACATGTGGACCCACACCTGCAACTCAAGCCCAAACATCTGCAATGAACTGTTGGTGACTCAGTCTTAAACTCACTCTGGTTTCAGTGTGAGTGGGAGTCACCAAAATCAGCATACCAACACCATTTGGCAGCCCAATCTTGCACAAACTGATGAAAGAAATTCTACATATCAGTTTGTAAGAGTGAGTTCTTTGCTAGGCTGTCTTCCTGGAATCAGAACTGTCCATGAAGCTCCAGAGTGATTCCAAATACATGTGTCCTTGGAACTCCTTAGGGCATCTGGTCAACCCCAGACATCAGTGAGAGAGAGACTCTGGTAAAGACAGTGCAGAAGGGCTCTTCAAAAAGGAGAAAAGGAGAATGAGATCATGCGGGATGGATTTGGTCTGGAGCTGGGTTGCCGTGCCTGGATGGCACTTAGGGTTCTGGCCAGTCCCAACTTCTGGAGTGAGACTTAGAAAAGTTCAGGGTAGAAATTTCTGGCTGATAGGACCCATATGGGGCCTGGTCTGGATTTGGGCACTGTGGATAAAATGAGAGTTCCTGTGGCCAGGATTCTCACCTGGCCCTGGTTGACTAGTTCACTGCACACCTGTGGGCAATACATGGCTGTTGACACTATAAAAAGAGCTCTGCCCAGTGCTCTGAGTGCGACACGGTGGCAGGGCTGTAAGGCTGCCGGCGAGCAGAGCAGAGGCTGGAGTGGTGGCAGCGCTGAGGACAGAGGCCCAGAGGGTGGCTGTGCGGGATGACTGTGCAGAGAGGCCTAGAGGATGGCTGTGCAGGACAGCTGTACAGACAGAGGCGCCCAGAGGTAGAGACCGGCTTACTGCATGCAGACTAGCTCTGAGTGAACGGGATTTTAGTGACTGACCTGCCACCTGTAATAAAGTTGGGTATAACCCTTTCACCCCAAAGAGCATTCTGCTGTCAATTTTCTTTGGTCACACTGAATCCATAGCGAACTTGCGTGGGGCTGAAATCCATTGGCAAGATAGGCACTCTACCAAGATAGCAGTACTGGCCTTAGGGGCCCTTAGAAAGGTTTGAGGAATACCAATGCAAAGCACAGTACTCCTTGAGGTACAAGATCTGGGGCAGGGGCCTCTTACCTAGGTCTAATGATGGCCCTACCACTAACCACTGCATGTTATTTACTAAGACTTAACAGTAGCAAGAAAGTAGGTTCAATAATGAGACAATTAACTTTCCATCCATTTTCCATCCAACAAATGTTCACTGAGCACCTATAGTGGGCCAGTTGGTTCAGGAGAAATAGAAATGGGTCTTCCCAACCATTATCTACCCCAAGTTAGTTCTGTATAATTAAAAAGAAAGAAAAAATTGGCTACAGACAATATACCTCTTATACAGCTGTTAACAACTTTTCTCAATTATGGCTCTTGAAAAGTGATTCAGTAACTGTGATTGCATACAATTTACCCCAAAACTTAGTGGCTTTAAACAATGACAATATTTAGTTTGTTCATCAATCTGCTATTTGGGCTCAACAGGGTTAGTCTGTCTCTGCTTGGTGTCAGGTGAATCAGCTTGAAACCTGGGGACCGGGATCATCTGAAGGCTTCCTCACTCACATTATCTAGACACTTGATGTTGTCAGCTGAGACCTAGCTCAGGCTGTCAGTTGGCAAACCTCCGCACTGTCTCTTCATACGGCCTGGCTTGCAACTTCCAATATGGGGGCTAGGTTCCAAGGGTGAGCATTGCAAAGGGAGTAAGTCAGGTGGAAGCTGTATCCTCTGTAGGACCTAGCCCCAGAAGTCACACAGCATTACTTCTGCCCCCTTGGCCAGAACAGTCACAGCCCCCAACCAGACTCAAGGAGAAGGAACATGGATGCCATTCTTCACTGGGAAGAGTGTTGTTACATAGTAAGAACTGTGGGATGAGCTACATATATTGGTGTGGCCAACTTTGGTGTAAATAAAATAAAAAGGTCTGCCACAGAAGGTTAATACAACTGCTCCATGTTTTCCTTTTTCAAGGGCTCTGCCTTTTAATACAGTAAATACATGATACAAAGTGGTATTTTGACATTACAGTCTCAGATGACACTCCCCAATTTATTCTGTTTCTACTTAGGAATTATGCTGTGGAACAAATCTGAATTGTTCAGTGTTTGAAGAATCCATGTGGTTTTAGTCTATATACCATTTCATATGCTTCTTCCATCTATTTTGTGTGCACAATTTTCCCATGGTTTCAAAGTGTTCTGATGTTTAGAGATTTTCCCCCTTCAAGGTATTTTTGATTGCACTATAACTTTATTTTTATGTTGGTTTAAATGAAACTCTCAAAATATTTTTTAAAAATTGGTAAAGAAAAATGTGTAGAGATAGAATATCACTTGCATCTTGCCTCCACCAACCCCCATCTAACATTAAACATCTTCCTGGCCAGTAATGATCCTCATTTATACCTTATATTTTATGTAAAATATATTCTTAAAATTATGTATTGCTTATGTGATTTTTATTTGCATTGTTCCATTGATATACTTTTATTAAAAACATTTAGATGTCTTGGGTTGGAATTGGACACTTTTTTTCCCATTAAAATGAATGGATATATATATATTATTTAATAATATAAGTGAAGCTTTTCACTTATTGGCAGAATTTTCAGGAATGAATTAAAGTCACCAGGTGGGAGATAGATGTATTTCTCATCATCTCTTCAAGAGCTTTAAGATGACTTTTCAGTCCTGTTTGTCACTTTACCAATTTTCATCACCAATTGCTCTTCCCATTTGTCACCCCCGTTGTCAGCCCCTTACCTGATATATTGCAGGTGTATATTATAGGTTTTTATTATGTTAGGAATGAGTCTGTTTAAAAGTAACAGATAACCCAATAGATTGTGCTCTAAATAAGATTTTTCACTACCTCATAAAACAGGAAGGCAACCCAGAGTTTGTGCACCTGCTTGATTATATCCTAAAGAATCAGACTTCTTTTATCTTCATGTTTCACCTTTATTTAAGCACTGTCCTCCTCATGGTCTCAAGATGACTGCTGCACCTCTGGGTGTTGTGCCTTAGCTCCAAGCATGAAGTAAGGGAAATGTGAAAGGTCATGAACTTCCCTTCCCATTTTATCGTGGAAGGGAGGCTCTCCCTTCAGACATCTGCCTACATTTTACTGGCCAGAGCTTTGTGTCATTGCTACTCCTAGCTGCAAGGAGAAAGAGAGGGAGTTGGGAACTGTATGCTTTGCTTTCCAGCCTCTGAAGTTTAGAAAGGAAAGGGTAGATGGTTGGAACAGAAGTTGTGAGTCTCTTACAATATTTGTCACACTGAGTTTAATGGGAATGTATTGCCTTGATACACAAAATGGTCTGGATTTAGCCTCATCCTTTTCTGGAACATTCCTATCCTTTATTTCTCTTCCATCCTCTAACTACTATCCTGGAGTTGGGGAAGTGGGACGAGGTCTAGAGAAAAAACACTTTTCTATTCTTTCTATTGAGGTGTCAGCTCTTAGTCACTCCTTCCTCGGAGGTCTCTTCTAATTGAAGGTAAGGAGGAGATAGTATTTTCTTTGCTCTCTTCCGCTCTTTTCAGACAACCATGCCTTCAGCACTACTCAATACTCTGATCCCTTCCTCTTTGAATATCAAGGACATCCTCAAGGCCACATCCTGCCTCTTCTCTTTCAGCCCAAGTTTCCTCATTTACACTCCAAAGGCACTTGAGCTGCACCTCTCTAATGGTATTTATTATTTTCTTCGTTGAAGCTGAAACCAAATTATTTGAAGTGGTATTGTTTACAAAATGTGTGGTGCATCGAAGGTGTTCAAACTGGTATCTCTTGCTTTTATTACTGTATCATTGCCTTTATCAGCATCAGCTCCTTAATGAGAGTCTCTGAATCTGATATCTCATTCATTTTTGTAACTTACACCTGATCTGAAATTGGGCAGTCATTGCTCGTAACTAATACTATGCCCAGGTAATAAGAGGGCAGTAAGGAGCAACATTTCAAAGGAAGTGTGCTGTAATGGTGGGATGTGAGAAATTCCTAGACCTGGGTGGGAGCCAGAATCTTGCAGAGAAGCCCCTTACTCCGTCTGCATCGAAACCAGGTAGAAACTGGGTTGATTCGTAGGGACGCAAGTGGAGCGCCTCTTCCGCCGTAAAGCGATAGTGTAGACGCAACTTTCACTTCCCTCCTCCTCCCTCCACTTGATCCGGAAAAGGAGGAAGGAGGAGGGAATGTGCCCCGCGCGGCGAGCTGGGATAGCTGCGCACGCGCAGCTTCCGGCTCCGTGTCTCGGGAATTATTTGATGCCGCCGCTTCAGACTTGGAGAAGTCTCTGATCAGGCGCGCTGCGCACGCGCAATGGCCCAGTCGGCTCGGGGAGCTATTTGACGCTGCCGCCCCTGGCAGTCGGAAGTTGCCTGAGCAGAGCCTAGCCGGCCGGCCCGACCTGCCTTAGTCGTCCCTGGGCGCTCTCCGAGAGTCGCTGAGAAGTGGACGGACTGACCGCCTGAGGACAGCAGCAAGGCAGCTAAATCGCCTACCCTATGGCACGAGTGGCGTGAGGCGGAAGGCCGAGTGCGGGCGGCGGCGCCCGCTCCAGCGATGCGGGCCCCGCCCGTCGCCTCAGGTAACCGGGTGGCCCTTCCCGTCGCTGCCGGACCCTCCCCTTTCCTTCCCTCCGGGCGGTCCCGGAACAGCCCAACCTCGTTTCTCTGCCCCGTGCGCTCCCAGGGCCCTGCCTTCGGAAGCAAGTCTCTGCGTTTTCTTTGGGTCGGGGGGAGCTTCGCCCGGAGCGGCGGCTTCTATCGGGTCTGTTCAAACCCGGTCTAGCCCTTGGGAGCTGCCCCTGCCGGGCGACGGGCTTTTCTGGCAACCTGGGGGAGGGGGCGGGCCTGGAGCGGAGCTAGAGAACTCCGCCGAAGAATTTGGTCCGGCAGAAAGGTTGGTTGAATTGCTGCCGCCCTGTGGGGACTATGCTGCCCAATTGTACAGGGCTATTCAGGTGAGGAAGAGGTAATGAGAATAAACAGCCAACCCTTGTTAAGCGCTCACTATACTCACTAAAAGCCAGGCTATTACATTCACCAATCTAGCTTGACATCAACCCTGTAAGGTAGGATTATTATCCCCATTTTACTGACAAGGCAATCGAGACCTGAATGGTTAGGTGACTTACTTGCTCAAGGTCACATAGCTGGTAATTTGAACCTAGGCAGACTGACTCAAGATTTAAGTTCTTAAAAATTAGGTCAGTGGCTCTTTAACTTTGCTGCACCTTAAAATCACCTTGAGCAGTTTTTAAAAATATCCTGATGCCCAGGTAGCACACCCAGAACAAGTAGATCACAATGTTTAGGGGTAGGGGTGTGGAAGCCAGATGTCAGTCTTTATTTTAAAGAGCCCTGTATGATTCCAGTGTGCAGCAAAGTTTGGGAACTACTACAGTAGGTGATTCTGTATCTCAAAAGACATACCAGTGTTCAGTTTTAAGCGTGCAGGGGAATCGCCTGGGAGATTGTTAAAAATGCAAGTTCGACCCACAAAGATATTTTCGTTAGGCCCCCTGGCTATTACACCTTGTGAAAGTGTTGGGAGATGAGAGGTAACTTTCTCTGCAGGATTTTTGAGTCATCTGGACCTCTTAAAGCATCTACATCTCATACAAAACTTGAGTTTAGAATTTCTGAATATATTATTGTTCATGAATGTAATGACTAACCTTTGGGTCTTCTTTGCATATGCTGTTCCTCTGCCTAGACTATCCACCATACTTTATCCCCGCGCCACCCAAGTGCACACACTTTGGCAGTCTCTTAATCACATGCACATATCCTTTTCTTCTGGTCTCAGCTGTATAACTCCCCAACATTCCCTTCAAGATACCTCTGTGACTCCCAACCACCTTGGGTCATTCCTGTCTCTTCTTTAGCATCATCATAGTGGAATTCACCAGTTGTTTTTCTGTGTTGTATTTTTTTCTCTTCTAATAGATTATGAGCAACTTGAACCACATTTTCTGCATCTCCATATTCCTCCCAGTGCTTTGAGAGACTCAAAAAGGTTTCAGTGAATGGATATTTGAGTCCCTGTTACATAGGCTTTAAGCTGTAAGCAGATCCTTCTCTATTTCCATTTTTGCAAAAGGTGTTTGGTAGTTCTGAGCCTGTAGAGTTTTGTTCTTTTTGCTTAGAAATATCCTAGTTAGGTTCAGTAATGTATTCAGCAGTTGAACAAATGCATTGCATTCTTATTACTGGCAGAGCAATATTTGGGACTATGTATACTCAACATAGGTTGATTTTTTTTTTTTTTTATATCTGATTTTACCACAGTGAGATACAGTCAGTTCTGTAGTGGGAATATTTTTTATTGCCCTTAGGCCTTTGCATATGTTTCCCACCTTTCTGTCCAAAATAATGTTTAGTTGTTATCCAATAAATGTTATTGCCTTGTTGGTATGTGGTAAATACTAGTAGATGGAATTGCTATTGGTAAGAGTTCATCCTGTTTACTAGGAGAGATGACATAAGAAGTACTTAATGAATATTAAGACCTTGATGTCAGAGGAATAGATAAACTTAGTATATATATATATATTGCAGAGTGCCTGAACTACTATTGCCCAACATATTTACAAGTTTTAAAGGCAGGCAGGCCAATAATTCAGGTAGTATTTGTTCTTGGCTGGGTTTAGAACCATGTAAGTCTTATAAAAACGTGTTGAGTATGTGTGTGAAGGTCATTATGAAGAGCTTTTTGAACAGTAAAGATTTTTTTATAGTAGTTACTATGGTAAAGTATGTGGACTGAATAAAAAATATATATTTCATATGTGACATTATTTACAGCATAAGGATTGTTATAGGAAGATTTTCTTGCTTTGGCTTTACTGTTTTCCCAAATTTTAGGTTAAGGCTAACATAGAAACTGATGAGACAATTGATGTGAAATTCAGATACTCAAGAAACTTGTCGATCAGATATGGACATAGTATCAGTTCTGGCCTCAGCACACGGAAGAAACTCAGTCTTTAAGCCTAAGGTTTAAGTCTGTGGTTGATCTCCAAAGTAAAGGTGAAGAATTCAATGAGCTCAGTTAAAGACCAAAAGCGACTCTAATCATGATAGCCTGAGACCTAGAAATGGATTCCATTTAATTTGAGATAACTGTCAGTGTTAGCAGGTGTGTTCCCTGACATGTGTAAAGATTGGATGCGTGACTTCCATGGGTGCAAGATGTTTGAAGTTTTAGAATTAAGGTACAAGTAGTGTAATTCCAAGATTTTACAGGTGAAGAAAGTAACTCACCCAAGACTATGTGGTTGGCTTCTAGCACACATAAGCCTTTTAGAAAGCAGGCCTCCTTCCTCAAGACTCAGTATCCCCTTCTGCCCCCATTCCCCCATGTGAGAGGATATCTTTGTTATATGTGTGTGTGTTTTGGAGTTGAGGAAGTGACAGAGTAGAGTTTGCTAGGTTTGAGATACTCAGATGTATTGTGAATGCTTGGTGTGTGACATGTACTTTGCTGTATAAGCTAGGGATACCAAGAGGACAGTGCCTTATCCTCAAGGAGTCTGTAGTCTAATCAGTGTTGTAATAATCATGAAAGTATAGTACCTAAGATCTGTCTAATGGAATTTTCCTCAGTGATGGAATTGTTCTATATCTGTGTTGTCCAATACAGTAACCACTAGCCACATGTGACTGTTGAGCACTTAAAATATAACTAGTATAATAAGGAACTGAATCTCTAAATTTAAGTAGTTACATGTGGATATGGCTACTGTGCCAGACAGAGCAGATCTGAGGCATAAAAGATGAGAACAGTCGTGGTGCTGGGGGGTAGGGTGGGAGGCAGGGTATTCATATGTATATTTTTTTATAGACTAGCAAAAACTACCTGTTTGCACTCTTAGAGGGGAACATAGGCACAACCTGTCTGTCTGTCTTGTAATTCCGGTGTTTGATAGGATCCCTAACAGCATCTGGTGCATAGGTGAATACATTCCTTTCTAGCCAAACTTGATTGATATTTGCCTTGTAGAGTCAGTAGGACTACAACAGAAATAAGAACTATATGGTCCTTTTACCTTTTTTCATCATAAAGTTATGTAGATGACCTTGAACATACTATATACCTTAAAATCTACACAGTTCATTTATTTACTCAATGTTTTGGCACCCTGTGCCCTATTTTTCCTAATGAAAACAAGGCATGCCTGATAATGTGTACCTTGCATTGGTACATCTCAAAGTATGTTGACTCGTGTTGCTTTATTTGCTTTCTCCCAAGTCACTTTTGCTAGGTACTGCGAGTATTCTCCCTGTTTTACAGATGAGGAAACTATGACAAAGAAATGCCAAGTGACTTTTCCAAGGTCATATGGTGAGGTATGGAGTCAGAACAAAAGGCAAGAGCAATGGACTTCGAGGCAAGAGGTGGAGTTTCTTGTCCTGGCTACTGTTACTTGATGGGATGCTGATCAAGTCAAAGCTTTACTTTGTTTCCTCAAGTAGTGGCTAGTGACATTTGTCTTACTTAACTTTCTAGGCTTGTTATTGGAATAAAATGAAGGAACATGTGAAGACTCTTTGAAAGTGATCAATTATACAAAAGTACATTATCATCAAACAGGATCTCCAGTGGTCTTTCTGTTGTATGGTGTTGCCTTCATAATGAATCACATCAAGTATATTGAATACTACTGTACTGTGGTGTTGTCTGGGATTTCTCTTGTCCCTTGCTGTGAGACCTCTTAGGTAGCCATTGTGTCTGCCCTCTTTACATCAGCGTACCTAGGATAATACCTGACACATAGTAGGTGTTTAATAAATGTTTGTTTAATGAAGTAACTGATGTCTGGGTTTACTTTATGAAGTTTTAAAAAATTGTAATGAGACTTGAAACTCCTTGGAAATAGGGAAAATGTTTATTCAGTATTATATTCTCTGTGCTTGGTGTATAGAAGGAAGGTAATAAATATTGGTTGGATCAGTTAATGTAATTAATGTTAGGCTGTGGTCTTAGTGTGTCTACCATGACCACTGTGTTGCTCATTTTGGTAATTTGTCAATTAGACCCAACCTTCATGTTACTCTGTGGTAGTACCTGCAAGCCATAAGCTGTTACCCAACACACAGTCACCTGATAATAGAAACTTCCAGAGAGATTAACTAGAAAATGGGCACATGTAGAGTTGGGGAGAAATTAAGTGATCTGCAGGAGAGCACTGTCATCATCTCCCATCCCTCCTATCATATTTACTTTTGGAGCATTCAAAGTGGAGACTTCTCGGCTAGGAGCTCCGGTTGGTAGCCAACAGAGCCTCTCTGGGGAGAAGACCCATGGATCCTTAACCTAGCAGTCGGAGCTCTTAATCATCTGACTTCATTTATGTCTTCATAGCTCACTGCGGTTTCCTAACCCTCCCTGCCTTGTCCCCATTCTTCCCAATGTCCCCCTCCTCAATATATTAGCCACACTAGAGTTTGCTGTTCTGTTGTCTCTTCAGCCTGTCTGGGACACTGCCATCAAATTTCTTTAATAGCAATTTAGTTTCCTGTTGTATTATTTCTATGATAGACTTTCATTCCCTGTCCCCAGTTTTTACTACATTAATTAAAA